TACATACATTTTAATATACGTTTTTTTCAGTATTTTACATTTAGCATTTTTAATAGAATTACATTTTGAATGGCATTTTAAATGCAAAAATACCCAGCCCTGAATATATATATATTGGAAGTTTAGCAAAAGCAAGAAAGTTTTAATATATAGTTCAGTACAGGAACAAAGAATAGACCTCATTTTCTGTTTTTTTATTTTGAAAGAAAGCAATCTACTTTTTAAAAATATATTTAAAAAATTCAAGTTTTGACTATTTTCAAGTTCATTCTTCTCTTTAAATCAGTTTCCAACTTCATTGAATTTTTTTTCTTTTCACCAGCTGATGAATAGGAATATTGACGTCGTAGAGAAGAAACTGAATGCTCAAAGCTCGGGTGGTAGCATAATATTGAAGTGCAAGGATTTTCAAATTCTTCAGTTAGATATTGGTTCTACTAACGATTTAATCAACGCCATACTATCTATAGAGAAGCTGATATCACTAGGTAATTGATTGATACTTGCAATATTGCTTGTCAATGAGATATAATTATCCCTTACTTTGCAGATCAAACTCTACAATATCCATTCTTCTATCGACCACAGACAACTAACAACATCATGGTACAAATAGAAGATGGATGGACAGCGTTTGCACCTGTCTCTGAATGGTCTAGATTGTTGGCGGCTCACGGAGATGAATGGCGTATCAGTTATCTGAACAGGGATTACAAAGTTTGTATTTCGTATCCGTCGGCAGTTATAGTACCACGTCAAGTAGACGACAAAGTTGTAATAGCTTCAGCTGGCTTTAGAGACGGTGGAAGATTCCCAGTTTTATGTTACAGACACGAAGGAGGGGTAAGTAATATATTATTAAATCCATATTTCTATAACTGAACTAAAATAGTAGTGCATTTTTGAAACTATGTGAGATATATATATGACGAAAGCGAGAAAGAAAGTTCTATGCAGACTATGCAGAAATAAAAAATAGATACTTATTACTTAAAATTCTAAAGTAACATCTACTCAACTGTGACTTGTCTTTATTTTATTGCAGAGTATATTGTTGAGAAGCAGTCAGCCGTTATGCGGTGCTACCGGTAAGAGATGCAAAGAAGATGAAAAACTATTAAATGCAGTTCTAGGTCCCGGAAGACGTGGGTAAATATACTGCTCTTAAATCGCAAATATCATTGTTTTGTATTTACTACAGTCATTGAATTTTATTTATAGGTACATAGTGGACACAAGATCGATTAATCAGGCACAGAGTGCCAGAGCCAGAGGCGGCGGCACAGAAATGGACGCGGCTTATCCGCAATGGCGAAAAGTACACAAACCTGTTCCTCGACCACACGAATTAGCTGATAGTTTCTACAAATTAATAGAAGCTTGCAACGATGTTAACAGTTCTACTTCGCAGTGGCTGTCAAAATTGGATAGCAGCGGATGGTTAACCGCCGTACAGAGTGCTTTAAATGCTGCCTGTGTAACCGCGCAATGCCTGCATCAAGAAGCCGCGGCAGTGCTAGTACATGGTGTGTATATCAAGTATTAATAATTAATAATAAATATTTAATAATTAATGTTGCCAAAGTTGCGTTTATCTACTTTCCTTTGGAATATCAATCGTGTAGTAACAATGTAATTTTGATTTATAGGCAGCACAGGTAGGGACTCTACCTTGGTGGTAACCAGTTTAGCCCAGGCAATACTAAATCCTGATTGTCGGACAGTACGAGGACTTCAAGCGCTCATAGAGCGTGAGTGGCTACAAGCCGGCCATCAATTTTTCAGCAGAACTCGTTGTGGAGCCTATCAGCCTTCAAACTCGCAAAATCCGACACACGCGCCAACTTTTCTGCTTTTCCTCGATTGCCTATACCAGCTGCATCATCAATTTCAATTTAGCTTCGAGTATACTGCAGATTTACTCGTAAAATTGTACAAGCACGCCTATTCTTCAAACTATGGTACATTTTTAGGTATGTGAAATATTAATTATATATTTTTTATTAATCCTATATCATTTATACATTTGTTAAGATTTCCATTTCTTCATTATTGCTATTTTACTATTGCTATTTTACTATGCTTACTCATTGTAATACATATTTTTCATGTATTCAGGTGATTCTGAAGCGGAAAGAATAAAATTACGGCTGTCTGAACGGACTTATAGTTTATGGTCATACATGAATCAACCGGACGTTTTGGAACAGTGGATAAATCCACTGTACGAGCCTAATCCGGGAGTGATTTGGCCCAGCGTTGCACCTATCAGTATTCAACTATGGAGAGAATTGTATCTCGCGCGTACAAGCGCAGCCCCGTGGGATGGCATGCTTTCCTATGCGAAGCAGATCAAGCAGAATCACACAGCGGTGCGCAAAGTAGCCGGACAGCTACAGGCGCAGATCAAGCAAGCGTTGGAGGAGATCCGATCGGATCCGAATATGTCACGGGGAGATACGGACAATCAAGAGGATCATCCCCGTATAGCGCAATTGAGCCTAGAGTCTCAGAGTACTTGATACAGATTGTAGAGACCGAAGAAAACCGAAGAAATCCGTGCTGCTGTTCAACGATCTTGTCAATATGCCTTTAACTATACGTTAGTCCGCAAGGATCAACGGTCTTCACGATAAACCTGCCACGAATGCTGAAGCCTTCGTAATAAATTATTGACAATTCTTTCGATTTCTTATCGAAATGAAGAAAAGGGTGTTTATTAGCTTAAGAATAGTCTGCGTATTATCATTGTCAATATAGATTTGGATATTGTATCGTGTAAAAGGTATTTCTCTCACGTTATTTCAGTCATAGAAGTCACGCGATTTTCGCCTATATAGTAAAACTCGCATTACCGAAGGGTATCAAGTACTATCTAAACAATTTAAACAAGACGAGATAAATTGTGATATTTTTTATTTTACGACAAGCATGGTTCGTATCGTACCATGAAAGAGTTAACGCGATATTACATAACATATACATATATATATATTATATAAAAATATCTATATAATATATCTATATAATATATATAATATTATACATATATACTTTATTTATCCAAAGGTAAAGTAATATAAACAAATGAAAATGGAATGTATATTGTAAACCTATATTATTAAAGAGCGTAATTGCGAGGGTAGGACTTGGAAATTTTTCATTGGAGCATACGGAGAGAAGGAAATCTCGCTCGTTCGGGGGTACGGACGAGTTTTTACCGTTATTCGGGAAGGATGGCGGGAGGGCGGTGGACGATAGAATGGAGAGAGGGGGGAGGTTAAGGGCAGGATTGTTGCCGCTGCTGTGGTAAAAGGGGGAGAACGATTGGAGGGGAAAGCGCGGCAGGTGTTCACACACAAA